GAGCGATCTGGGCAAGGACCTGGTTGGAGAAAGAGCAGGACATGACGAAGGAAGAGTGGCCGGTGGCACAGCCCAGGTTGACGAGACGGCCCTCGGCGAGAAGGATGATGTGGTTGCCGCTGGGCATCTCGTAGCGGTCGACCTGGGGCTTGATGTTCTGGACGGACTTGGCGTTGGCCTTCAACCAGGCGACGTCGATCTCAATGTCGAAGTGACCGATGTCTGAGCGGTTAGCACCTTCTCAAGAGAGAATGAGGCAGAGAACTTACTGCAAACAATAGCGTCGTTGCGCATAACCTCGAAGTGCTTGCCAACAAGGATGTCACGGCAGCCGGTGGTCGTGACGAAGATCTGACCCTGGGGAGCGGCCTCCTCCATGGTGGTGACCTGGTAGCCCTGGACGGCAGCCTGGAGGGCGTTGATGGGGTCGATCTCAGTGACGATGACGCGGGCACCCATGCTGCGGAGAGCATCGGCACAGCCCTTACCGACATCACCGAAACCAGCGACGACGGCGACCTTACCAGCGATCATGACATCGGTGGCACGCTTGATACCGTCGACGAGGGACTCGCGGCAGCCGTACAGGTTGTCGAACTTGGACTTGGTGACGGAGTCGTTGACGTTGATGGCGGGGACGAGGAGCTTGCCCTCCTTGAGCATGCGGTACAGGTGGTGGACACCGGTGGTGGTCTCCTCGGACAGACCGTAGCAGTCCTTGAGCTGCTCGGGGTACTTCTCGTGGACGAGGGAGGTCAAGTCACCACCGTCGTCGAGGATGAGGTTGAGCTTCTTGCCATCCTTGAAGGAGACGAGCTGCTGCTCCAAGCACCAGTTGTACTCCTCCTCGGTCTCACCCTTCCAGGCGAAGCTAGCGGGATGTTAGCGTGGGGACCGCCGGGACGGGGAAAATTCAGTGTCAGCTTACACAGGGACACCGGCGGCGGCAATGGCGGCGGCGGCGTGGTCCTGGGTGGAGAAGATGTTGCAGCTGGACCAGGTGACCTCAGCACCGAGGGCAACGAGGGTCTCGATGAGGACGGCAGTCTGGATGGCTGGGAAGGGTTAGCAGCTGGGTTGAAAAGTCACCGAAGCAGTTCGAACATACTCATGTGCAAGCAACCAGCGATGCGGGCACCAGCAAGGGGCTGGTCCTCGGCGTATCTGCGGCGGATGGCCATGAGACCGGGCATCTCAATCTCGGCGAGCTCGATCTCGCGGCGACCGAAGGCGGCCAACGACTAGAAGATTATCAGGAGGTGATTGTCAATGATTGATGGGGCAACACATACGATGTCGGCGACCTTGAACTTCTGAGCGGGGGCGGCCATTGTGATGTGTAAGGAAGACTAGGAGGGAGGATTAGCAACAAACACGGAGTTGGATGATGGATGATGAAGAGAATGTCCAGGACAACCTACTAGAAGGATGGGGATAGAAAAAGGGGGAGAGAGATAAGAAAGAGGAATGGAGGGAGTAAGAGAAGAGGGGAATCAGGAAGAGAAATAAGTTTGGTGGTGCTGGCGGGGCTGAGCCCAACTTGGGTCCGGAGTAACTGTATTGCCGGTCTCGCCGAATCTGCCTACACTACGGAGTACCTACAGTACAGTACTGTACACTCCTACACTACACTACCATTGAGCCTAACTACGTAGTAACTTACTCGTAACTAGTCTATTTACTGGACTACTGGACTACTGGACTACCCTCTCCCCCTCCACAACAAACCCCCCACCCACTACGTACTCGCCCCTCATCTCATGTCTGCGTTGTCCGAAACCTCCGAACTTGGACGGACATGCAGCTGGATCAGCCTGCGATCTGCTCCGACCCCCGCCAGCAATTGCCAGCGATTGGCCTGATGTCCGCCGAAAAAGAGGGGGAGCTAGTCCAATTTGCACAGTAGCGCCCTCATCCACTGACAATGCCCTCTTCAGGTCGAATTCCCAAATCCTCCGGGGGGTGAACATATCAGGATCGGATCTTGGGCCCCGTGGGATTGGCGGTTCGGGGGGTTGAACCTTAGCTCCAAAATTTCCACCGCCAATTCGCCGAACGCAAGGGTAAAAAGGTTAACGTGCACTTGGCACTTCGGATCTCCGGCGGTGGGGATGGAACTGCACACAACCCAACCCCATACTTAATTATTGTCGAGATCTTTGTTCACAGCGGATCGGTCATGTGTAGTGAACGCGATCCGGTGCTTAGATTCTGTCGAAGATATCTTTTGCTTCTTCTTGCATGTGGTGACTTGCAGGTGAGAGCATCATTGCAGTACTTACTATACTACTAGTACTAGTAGCCATCCAATGTCCCCGACTGCCTTCGGATGTACCGCACAGTAAGTAGATCTATGCAATGGCAACACCCCCTCGAGCCTTGCTTCGTCGTAGTGGTAAATTTATCTGCTGGCATGGACCTTTCTTTCTTCGATCATAATCCCATCTACCCCAGCCATCTCCATTTCTACGGCCAGTATGAAGCTACTTGCAATATCGACCCTCTGCTCCCTGGTGCTCGCCTCCGCCGTGCCCCTCGCCACCAAATCCACGGCCCTCGGAGTCGCCCTCGCAGCAGCGCAGAAGTCATGTCAAACGCCCGGAGGAATTCAGATCGCGAATCTCGCCTGTCGGAATACCGTACGTCTGTTCTAGACCCTCAACAACGGGTGAATGATGCATGGATAAGGATAAGGCTGATCAGTTAGTGCATTGCACAAGGCGGAGGCTGGACCGGGGGGTTCTGCGATGACCAGGGGTAAGCTCCGATGGGCTGTCTGTCCGTCGTCGGCGATCGTGTTGAGGCTAACTATATCTGATGCTAGGATCTGTCACTGTACTTTTCACAGCCCAGATAATGATGATGGTGGGGATGATGAGAATGAACAAGCGGAACATAGTGATGCTCCGGCAGGATGACCAGATGGGGAGAATCACACAATATGCATTCATTGCGTTGCTTCCATATTCCCCATTTGCCTATATAAGCCGTCCGTTCTTGCAGTCTACAATTTCATCGCATCATCACTTAAGGAACTACACGACCTCCACAATTTTGGCTCAGGATCTCGCAAACCAGCGCTAGACACCATCGTTAAACCGATAGAAATTCATCCATCTCTGTGAATGGTCAGTAAGGCCCTAGTCTGAGCAACCAACCGGAACACCCACCTTATCGTACGGCTTCGACGAATCGCAGAATCGGATATCTGTGGCCAGACGGATGACATTATCCGGGTCATTATTGACGGTCGAGGCGTGGATCTAGACCGGACGATCAGCATGTCTTGCAAGCATCGACGACGGCAAACAACATACCATATGGGGCTTATGTAGGACGACGTCCCCGGCTTCGTACGCCGCGACCAGCCAGCGACGACCGTGTTCCTTGGCGAACTCGGCCGGCGCATCCGACAGCAGTGCGTTGGCGGTCATGTTCGAGTTGAAGGCCGACCGGGCCTCTTCGTCCGACAGCCCCGCCTGCTTGGCCTTGACTGTGAAGTCGTCCTCGATCTTTCTGCCCACCGAATCACCTTTGCACAGTGGAGTAGCAGTTAGCAAGCCCGTTGCACCCCCCTCCCAAAGAGAACGACATACTATCTTCCAGATAAATCAACCCTCCGCCGTTGATCTTCACATCGCCGATCGGCACCCAGGCCGTGACACTGGTGGGCTCCCCGTGGCGAATGAAGATCTGATCGTAGTGCACGCCGATGGGCTTGGTGCCCGGGGTGTTGTTGCGCAGCAGGGTGCGCTTGAAGGTGAGGGTGTTGGCGCCCCAGCCGGTGAAGTTGGCGACGTAGGCGTACAGGGCGGGGTGGTTGCAGAGCTGGTCGACGTACCAGTCCTTGTAGTGGGCCTCGATGGCGCGGTCGACGAACTCGGCCGCGCTGTCGCCGCCGGGCCGCCCGTTGCCCGCGACACTGGCCGCCCCGATGCCCGGGTAGTCGTCCGCCGACTTGCTCGGGTTGAAGATCCCCTCCACCGGCTCCGACCCTTCCTTCAGCACCCCCGTCGGCGCCAGGTAGGCGAAGTACCGCCGCCGGGTCTCGAGCACGTCCGCCCGCGGGATCACCTGCTTCAGGAAGAGGTAGCCGTCGGCCTCGTAGCGCTGCCGGAGTTCCTCCAGGGGCAGGTTGGGGTCGGACGGCCGTAGGAGGGCGGCGTTCGAGCTGGTGAGGGGGCCGTCGCTGACGGTGATGGTTTCCTGGAGGACTCCGACCATGATGGTGTTGCTGTTGAGTGGTTGAGGGTCAACACAGGTAGACTGTACAGATCGGGAGCTGCAGTCAGTCTGGGGTCAAGCGGTCCCCTTTGCTTGGTCTGGAGGGGGCTTTATATAGAGAGGATTGCCCCGCGCCACGTCCCCATCATGACGCACGACGCACTAATGAATAAGAAGGCATCGCAGTGCACGAGTGCAGCTTCCCCCGCATTCCGATGGGCGATAAGGCGGCCCTACCGGGTCTTTCATCCATCCAGAAGCCAAACATCACTCAGGGACTGGTGTCTTCTCGTATCGGATCATCCGAACCGACGCAACCGAGGGCAATTTTCCCCACATCCCGCGTGGAAAATCTCTCTTTTCGGCCGCCGTCCCTGGACTGCTCCTCCAATAGGAGAGTGTGGATTGTGGCGGGCGCGGGGAATACACCTTCTTTCAGCCACGAGTGGACACTGTGTGCATAAGTGCGAACAACAACGACCAGGGTACTCCGTCAGTCGCATGGAATTGGTCCGCTAACTTACGCCGTATACATCTGTATACGCACAGGAACCTCTCGCTTCCAACGCAATGCCATACTGCACAGTACATAACTGAACACCGGGTATATTATGAATACTCTATCGACTCGAAACCCACCCGCTCAAACGCATCATTTAACAAAAAGCACCACCCATCCAGAACCCCCCCACTGCCCGGAACCAGTAACACCATGAATCACCAAATCCTCTTTCCCCCAATTCCACCGATCCCACCCCCCTTCAATTCTCATCCACCCACTCCCCAAACCCCCACCCTGCAACCCCCTCCCCAACCGTCAACCGCAACGTCGAGAACTCAATCGACTCATACATCTCCCTCGCCGCGCCGCGAGCCTTTTTATGCCATGGCCCCAACCCGCCGAGCCGCGCATCCTCCCGACTCCGCCAGATGCCTGTCCACATCACTTTGATTAGCCTCACCCTCCCGTAACGACTCCTCACATGCTATGCCAACACCACGGGGACGGGGAAGAAAACTCACAAGTCGCCAAATTTCTATGACTGGCATCCTTACTCCCGAACCAATACTTCAACAGTCCCCCGCTGGCCATCGCCTCCTGGTGCGAATGCGCATCCAGCAGATGCAGCCGCTCGGCGTCGGCGTCGGCGCGCAGTCGCGAGCGGAAGGTGACTACGTAGAAGCTCTGCGCGGGCCACGAGGTTGCCTCATCTTCGGCCTGAGAGTCGAGGGCCAGCTGCCGTAACAGCTCGAACACGGAGGCCCAGTTGAAGGACTCGGTGTAGGGCGCGGTGGCGTAGTCGGGCCGCGTGGGCTGCAGGATGGTCAGGGCCTGCGCGAGGAGCTGGTTCGCGCGGTCCAGGGTGCGGAGGTCGAGGAGGTGGCCCGGCTGGTTGTAGGGGGAGACGATGAGGTGGGTGTCTGTTGGGAGCGCTGCGGCCACTGTTTCTGTCTGGTGTGGGGAGAAGCGCAGTTGCAGGGCGGCGGCGGCGTGGAATCGGAGGGCGTCGAAGTCGGTGGTGATGAGGCTGTGGTGGTGGAGTGGGAGTGGGAGGGGGAGGGGAGGCTTCCCTGTCCCTGCTGCCCGTGCCTCTTCTTCCACGGACTCGGTGTCGGAGGTGGGATAGAGCGGTTTGCCGATTTGGGGGGCCATTGTTCTCTGCAGGTGCCCAGTGCCCTGGCTTCGGGGTGATCGCCTGTGGTTTGGTGTACGGGATGGGACTGCCGCGATGCTGACGGACAAAGGAAGGATGCAACAAACGCTTGAAGGGATTGGATTGGTTTGGATTGAATTGGGAGCAGGAGAAAGAAAAGAAGAAGAACGAGGCGAAATGAGATAAATCTACCTTCTGCTCCAGTTCCCTATGGTCCGTCCCACTGCCCCCCCCCCGTTCCCATGGGGGGAGATTCCTCCAAAAGCACGCAATATGCCGACAACCCCAGCCGGCAATCACGAAAAAAAAAAAGGTCCACATAATTCCCCGTGAGTTGAACAAGACCCCCCTCCTCGCCCCCCCCGTTCTCCCCGATATGATCGTCGGCTAGTTTCATGCTTAATATTCTATAGTTACCTTGATTCCCGAGTAGCATACGGCTTGATATAGTGTAGTGCACTTCTACACTGTAGCCCTTAACACATCGTCAGAAAGTAACATCCGGTTAGGGCTAGGGATCTCCCTTCCCGCGGCGGACAGTCGCGCACGTTTTGCCGCCAGCGATGGCGACATTTCCCATCTCTGGCAGAAAAAATCTAAACTTCATCCCTGTCCCAAGAAATCCCCAAACACCAAGTCTCCACCGGTTGAACTGTCACGAACAAATTTTCTAGTCTTGCGCCACCACCAACATGTGTGGGGCCCTGTCTTGTTGTTTGCTCTACAAATCGGCAAGCCAGGCAATTTCACCATCGTCCGTCGGATCCATGGCTACCTAGTATGCAGTCGGTGGTTTGCGCCACGGGATCGGAACCGACGACCAATCAGTAACTTACTGAATACTCTCCAGACGGTAGATTCCTTTGTTGGGTTCTAGAATGAAAAAAGAAAGGAAAAAAAAAAAAGTGATTTCGGAAGATGAGACTGCCAAGTCTTGTTTCTTTTTCTTTATGGGACTTTATCATACAGAATTTCTTCGATTGGTATCATGCAGGGCTGCCTAGTCTTTTGAAACGCCGGTAAAATGCTCGTGATCACAAATAAGCAGATAAAGGAAAAAGCCAAAGCCATGTCGCGGAAAAGTTTCTACCGCTTCAGCGGCGGTGGAGGCGGCGCCATCTTGCCGTCGCCGGTGTCGACCTTCTTCTTCGGAGGCATGGCCGGGACCTTGAACCCTCCGTTCTGGCCTTGTGATGAAGAGGGGTTGCCAGGAGTCTGCTGCCCGCCAACCTGAGTGAAGGTTCCGGACTTGAACCACCGGTCTTCCTCCGCCTTGCGCTTGCGGTTCAACTCGGCCTGCACCTTGGGATCAACCAGCTCCAATCCTTGCACCGGCGTGAAAGCGATGGTACTGGCCGTGCCGGCGGATCCACCCAAGGAGGTACCGATACCAGAAGCCCGGAGACCCCTGGCCTGGAGGACACTGGCAGTGCCGCTGGTGCCGGGTCCTCCACCAAAGGCACGTAGAGAGGTCGAGGTACCGCTGACGGGAGTCGCCGTGCCCCATCCCTTGTTGTTCTTGCTGAGCTTGGCCCGGGTCCTCTGGTCGATCTGCGTGGCGCGGATGCGGCCGTCGTTCTGCTGGCCAAGCATTCCCAGTCCGACCGTTCCTTCTCCCGTGCCATACCCCACCTCTGCTTCTTCCTTGCCGAAGGCAACCCGGTTCTGCGCTTTGCGGAGCTCCGTCATCGCGACGGCCTCCTTCGCCTTGCGGGCCCGTCGACCGCCGCGCTTGCGGGAGGGCTTGTCGTCCGGCGCGGGAAGCGCCTTGGCTCCCGAGTTGGGCGCGGGCTCCGTCAGCTTCTCCAACCGCTGGAAGCACTGCTGCTTGAGCTCCTCGCCGAGGGAGCCGTCGGGGCTGTAGTTCGAGACGTCGGCGCGCGTGGCGAGCACCATCTTGGCCGACACGATGCGGATCGCCTGCCGCTTGAGGTCGTTCGGGATCTCTGAGATGATGGGCGAATTGTAGAGGAAGCCCTGGGCCCGGATGCCGTGATTCGTAGCAAATCCCAATCCTTCCTTTCTCTTCGAGCCCTGCGCCCCGAGGTTGCAGGCGGGGATCTTGGCCAGCTCGCGTAGACCACCCGTCTGGTTGAGGAACTGCGCCGCCGTCTCCGGGCCGATCAGCGCCGCCAGGTTGGGCGCGATCTGGCTCATGCGCGACTGGATGCTCTCCGTCAGCGCGGTGCGCTCCCGGTCGAGCTTCAAGATCCGCTCGCACGTATCCAGCACCGCCTTCAGCTCCGACTCGGTCATCTCCCGGCCTCGCGTCGTCGTGCCCTCCACCGCCACGACCATCAAGGACGGGCCGTCCAGGACGGACCGCAGCGGCACGCCGACCATGTTATCGGCGGAAGTCGACAGCGCTTTGATGTCGTTGAGCGGGCCGTTCTGGAGGATCGCCACCGTCTTGGCGTAGTCAAGCGGCGTCGTGACGAGCGTCTCGAGCTCGGGGAATCGGATCGAGTAGTGATCGCGCAGGACCTTGTGTAGGCGGGTCAGTTCGTCTTGGGTCGACAGCGCGACGTCGAACTCGTTGGTGATCTCGGGCGCCGCTGGCTGAGCGAGCTGCTCCTCGTCCACCACCATGTTGTCATCGTCATCGCCATTTCCGTCATCCAGGCCATCTCCGACCTGGAGATCCTCGTCGTCGTCCTCAAAGTCTCGAAGAAGGTCCTCGACGTTCGACATGATGAAACCTGCTGTGAGTTGTGATTAATGAATAGACTGAGCCGAACTTGGAGATGGCCGACATTTTGCCCAGAGGCGCCGCTGACCGCCTAGTGACTAAGCAGCATAGCTGCTGGGCTTCGTGTAGCGCCACGGACCAAAAGCGCAGGGCTTCCGAATTTGGGTCGGGCGGACAAGTCTCGATCTCCCCGACATCATCAAACCGCGCAGGTGTTGCTTGCTTGGGCACACTGTGAAGATTCTGGGAGAACTGCTTCGTTGTCGAGATCAGTCCTACAAGAGTCCACGAATATCTTTCTCAGAACCCGTCTTTCACTCAATTCCAGTGATCCCACTTGACAGCTGAGCAGCGGCTCGCGCACACCGGCCGGGGTCCAACACCCGATAACCACCAACCCCCGACAACACAACAACCTTATACCCTCTTTCCCACCTCACCACCCTCCCTAAGACACAATGGAAGCCTCACGCGGCCCACCGCGGGTCAAGAACAAGGCCGCGGCGCCGGTGCAGATCTCCGCGGAGCAGCTGCTCCGCGAGGCGGTCGACCGGCAGGAGCCGGCGCTGCAGGCGCCGACGCAGCGGTTCGCGGACCTGGAGGAGCTGCACGAGTACCAGGGGCGCAAGCGCAAGGAGTTCGAGGACTATGTGCGGCGCAACCGGATCAACATGAACAACTGGATGCGGTACGCGGCGTGGGAGCTGGAGCAGAAGGAGTTCCGGCGGGCGCGGTCGATCTTCGAGCGGGCGCTGGACGTGCAGCCGACCTCGGTGGTGCTGTGGATCCGGTACATCGAATCCGAAATGCGCAACCGCAACATCAACCACGCGCGCAACCTGCTGGACCGCGCCGTTACCATCCTTCCCCGCGTCGACAAGCTGTGGTACAAGTATGTTTACATGGAGGAGACCCTGGGCAACATCCCCGGCACCCGGCAGGTGTTTGAGCGCTGGATGTCGTGGGAGCCCGAGGAGGGCGCCTGGAGTGCGTACATCAAGCTGGAGAAGCGGTACAACGAGTTCGAGCGCGCGCGGGCCATCTTCCAGCGCTTCACGATCGTGCACCCGGAGCCCCGCAACTGGATTAAGTGGGCGCGGTTCGAGGAGGACTACGGGACGAGTGACCTGGTCCGCGAGGTGTATGGGATCGCCATCGAGACGCTCGGGGAGGATTTCATGGATGAGAAGCTGTTCATTGCCTACGCCAAGTTCGAGGCCAAGCTGAAGGAGTATGAGCGCGCCCGGGCGATCTACAAGTACGCGCTGGACCGGTTGCCGCGGTCCAAGTCGATGGCGCTGCACAAGGCGTACACGACGTTCGAGAAGCAGTTCGGGGACCGCGAGGGCGTGGAGGATGTCATTCTCTCGAAACGCAGGGTGCAGTATGAGGAGCAGCTGAAGGAGAACGCGCGCAACTACGACGTATGGTTCGACTTTGCGCGGCTGGAGGAGACGTCGGGCGACCCGGACCGGGTGCGCGACATCTACGAGCGCGCCATCGCGCAGATCCCCCCCTCGCAGGAGAAGCGGCACTGGCGGCGGTATATCTACCTGTGGATCTTCTACGCGATCTGGGAGGAGATGGAGGCCAAGGACGCCGGGCGGGCGCGGCAGATCTACAACGAGTGTCTGAAGCTCATCCCCCACAAGCGGTTCACCTTCGCCAAGATCTGGCTTCTGAAGGCGCAGTTCGAGATCCGCCAGATGGACCTACCGGCCGCCCGCAAGGCGCTGGGCCAGGCGCTGGGCATGTGCCCCAAGGACAAGCTCTTCCGGGGCTACATCGACCTGGAGCGGCAGCTGTTCGAGTTCGTGCGGTGCCGGACGCTGTTCGAGAAGCAGATCGAGTGGAACCCGTCCAACAGCCAGTCGTGGATCAAGTACGCCGAGCTGGAGCGCGGGCTGGACGACACGGAGCGCGCGCGCGCCATCTACGAGCTGGGCATCGACCAGCCGACCCTCGACATGCCGGAGCTGGTGTGGAAGTCCTACATCGACTTCGAGGAGTACGAGGGCGAGTACGACCGCGTGCGCTCCCTCTACGAACGTCTGCTGGAGAAGACCGACCACGTTAAAGTGTGGATCAACTACGCCCGGTTCGAGATCAACGTGCCGGACGAGGAGGAAGAAGAAGACGAGGAGGAGGAGCGGCCCGTCAGCGACGAGGCGAAGCGGCGTGCCCGGGCGATCTTCACCCGCGCACACAAGGTGTTCAAGGACAAGGAACTCAAAGAAGAGGTTAGTTGTTCTCATCCACTCACGTTGACGATCAAACTAACAGCCCATCCCTACAGCGGGTGGAACTTCTCAACGCCTGGCGCTCGTTCGAGCACACGCACGGCTCCCCCGAGGACATCGACAAGATCGAGAAACAGATGCCGCGCCGCGTCAAGAAGCGGCGCAAGCTCGACGACGACCGCTACGAGGAATACATGGACTACGTCTTCCCCGCGGACGACCAGTCGGCCGCCAACCTGTCCAAGCTGTTGCAGAAAGCGCACCAATGGAAGCAGCAACAGGCCGGGGGTGCGTAGGTGTGGGAAGTGGATGTACGTACATAGCATTAATCATGAATGGACTTGCAGCGTTGCACTTTCATCACCATATCCTAGCCTCCGTAGGTAGCGAACTTCAGCCTTCTGAAGTAGCCTTCTGAAGTAAAGTTCCGTTCTTTTCCAACAGTTGCACCTATACATGTCACGCTAAACCAGGTAAAAGACTCAACAATCGGGACGATGGCGCATCTGGGAGCGCGTCAGACTGAAGCATCAACTTCGGCCAGTACATCTGTAATCTGAAGGTGGCCGGTTCAAGCCCGGCTCGTCCCATTCTGTTTTTCTTTTTGTTTTTCAAGTGGGCTGTGTGGGGCCCGGTAAGCTCAGTTCAATCGAAACGGGTGGAACTTCGCCACCATCGCGATTCTTTCTTCGCTGCTTATCCTTTTGCCACTCGCTGGATCCTACAGAGTATCTTGCGTCATTGGAAGCTTCTCTTTCATGTGTAGACTCCGTCCGTCCTTCAGCTCAGCTCGGGAGCTGGGTTTGTGGTTTGGGTTGACGTTGACGTTCCCGGGGTCCAGCTATTCTGCGGTGGCTGTGGTATATAATCATAGTAGCGTAGAGCACCGCCGTGCCTGAGGCAATGAGTCTCAAGAACAGTATACCGTACCCGAGAGTCAGAATTGAAGACAAATAAAATAAACCTAATCTAACATTATCTCTATCTTCTATGCACCGAGACAAAAAAACAAAAGGGTGAGATTTTTCTATGCTCGTCTTTCGTAACTCAATCCCGCATGACGCATCACATATCCGAAAGCCCAATGGCAAAAATCGTATCAACACGAGTCCAAAACTGTATATAAAAAGCCAACGCTTGCAAATAACCAAATTAAATGCCCTCAAATCATTTTCACCGTCTTCTAAAGTACCAAGGTATATATAAGGGTATGCAAGAACTTCTCGTTTAGTCCACATACTTCGGCAAGGTCTTGAGGATGCCGTCGCGGTCGATCTCCTCCATGGCCTGGGTGATTTGCTTCAGGAAGCGCTCGTCACTCCGCAAATCATCGCCGAAGAGGGTCTTGATGCTCAGCAGCTCGTGGGGCTTGGTGCCGCCGGCGCGGGCCTTGGCCTGCAGCTCGTCGCGCATGGGGTCGTCGACGGGGAAGGTGTTGCCGGCGTCGTCGACGCCGTTGACGTAGCGGAACCAGGCGGCGGCGACGAAGCACAGGCGGCGGAAGGGGGCCTTGACCCAGATGGCCTCGGCGATGGAGGGCATGATGAACTGGGGGATCTTGCCGGAGGCGTTGAGGCAGATGCGCGGCAGCTGGTCCATGATGGTGGGGTTCTCGAAGCGGCCCATGAGGGTGCGGCAGTACTCGTCGATGTCGACGCCGGGGATGTCGGGCAGCAGGGGCTTCACCTCGTCCTGCATCATCTGCCAGACGAACTTGTTGAAGGCCGGGTGCTCCATCACCTCGTGCACGTACTGGAAGCCCGCCAGCTGGCCCGGGTAGCCCAGGGCGGAGTGGCTGCCGTTCAGCAGGCGCAGCTTGTGCTTCTCGAACTGCTCGACGTCGTGGACGTTCTTGACGACCTGCACGCCGACCTTCTCGAAGGGCGGGCGGCCGTCGGCGAACTGGTCCTCGATGACCCACTGCATGAACGGCTCGGTGACGACGGGCCAGCTGTCCTCGATGGCGAACTTGTCGGCGAGCGCCGTCTTGTCGGCGGCCGAGGTCTGCGGGGTGATGCGGTCGACCATGGCGTTGGGGAAGCCGCCCTGCGTGGCGATCCACTCGGCGAGCGCCGGGTTCTTCAGCCGCGCGAACGACTCCAGCATGTGGCGCGTGATGGAGCCGTTCTTCTGCATGTTGTCGCACGACATGACGGTGAAGGGCTTCAGGCCCTGCTGGTGGCGGCGGGCCAGCGCCGCGTACAGGAAGCCGAAGGTGGTGCGCGGCGCGGTCTCGTGGGCCGGGTCGAGGTCGTACTGGATGTCCGGGTGCTCGCTCTGCAGCTCGTGCGTGTTCTCGTTGTAGTAGTAGCCGCTCTCGGTGATGGTCAGCGAGACGATGTGCGTGTCCGGGTGCGCCATCTTGGCGATGACCGCCTCGCGGTCGTCCGGCGCGAACAGGTACGAGTTGATGGCGCCCACGACGTGCGCGAAGCTCCCCTGGGCCGACCGCTCGATCACCGTGTACAGGTGGTCCTGCGACCCCAGGGCGTCGCGCATCGCCGCGTCAAACGGCTGCAGTCCCACGCCGCAGATGGCGTAGTTCTTCTCCCCGTGCTTCTGCATCAGCTGGTCGACGTACACGGCCAGGTGCGCGCGGTGGAAGCCGCCCACCCCGACGTGGACGATGCCTTCCTTCACGGCATCCCCGCGCTGGTAGGTTGGTACTTGCACCTGGTGCTCACCGGCAGTGGAGGCAATCTGTGAGAGGTTCTTGTTGCTGAGCGTAAGGGGGGCCATTGTGTGTGAGTGAGTGAGTGAGTGAGTGAGTGTGTATGTGTATGGAGGTAGTGGTTGTGGGGAGGCAATTGAGAGGAGATTTAGCAGGAAATGACAAAGGAAGAGTAAGAGAAGTTTTGGACAGAGAAAAAGAATCAGAATCAGAAAAAGGGGAGTGATAAAGTTTGTTGGTCAGGTGGAAAGGACAGACAGACTCACGCAGCTTCACCGCCGCTTTTTCTAACTGAGTTGGACAGCATTACATCATGCAATGGCCATCTAGTGGGGAAAAAGCACGGGCAAATAGCAGAGGTGGCGGTGGAGTCGTTTTTGTGGAGGCGGTTATCGAGCTGTTATCGAGTTATCGAGGGTTTCTTTGATTGTTGGAGTCTGTGCTTTGCAATCAATAATGAAGCTCCTTGCGTCAGAGCTCCGAAACTCCGAACAATCCAGAACGCTTCTTCCGTGCTTCGGTGAAATTTCTACCCGCCCTGGAGCACTAGATCAGGGTTAAGAATCCAAAGGATAACTTTAAGCATTATCTTATATTAGCATTGCTTAACACGGCATAAGTCCCGATGCTAAACTATTTAGGGCAAGCCCTGGCTGGGCCCCCTGACTAAGCCATTTGTGCCCGAGGCATAAAAAGTCATCCAAGTTAAGTTTACTCTGTACGTCTATGTGTTTGATGAGAATTCACAGCGTTCATTATCACTTCCGCCATTTTCTTTCTTTCTTTCTTTCTCTTTTCGAATAGAAACCATGCAAATTTATGGCTTCTCCTCAATCTTCCGCATCAGGCTAATGGTGCTTAACCCACCAAGCTATTAGTAGTTATATATCCTAGTAAGACTCCTTCCAGCCCGAGCATAGTCTCGCGCTTCAAGCCGCCTGGATTCTGTAGTTGCTGCCATCTGCCCCACCCCCGACTATATTCCCCAAAAGGGCTATTCAGCTCCAGGTCGTGTTCGGTCAGGTCGGAAACGTGGCTCCTACCTCCCAAGTCACTTACTGTCAGACAATCCTCCGTAAGGCGATTTCCTATCCACAGCAATCTTGCCGAAACCAAAATCGGTCCACTGTACAAGTATCGCCCGGTTACCTCAATATAATTCTAGGAATAATTCGACTAGCTCTGCAGACAGATATCGTTAGAATAATGTTGAGATTACCTAAATAGGTACATTTTTAGGTAGATCCTTGGAGCCAGGTCTATAGATCTACACAGAGTCACGTGTCTGCTTGTAAACATACTGAAGCGATATCGCAGTATCTCGTATATAAGTATCAATAGGCCTTTGCGGTTCAAGCGTTACAAGGAGGTCTTATAGTAATAGTGGATCTGAAGTGGAACAATGGCTGCATGTCACATTATTTCTCAGGCAAGACGTAAAGATTGTAGCGATGGCTCTTTTCCAGATGGACCAGTCTTAAGCATGGTGTCTTGCTGCTACAGCGCTTTCCCGACAGGTCCGAGAACCTTCACTCGTCTTCCAGCTCACTATCAGCCGCAATATACGCATACAACGCCGTCGCCTCCTCGTCGCGCTTGTCCAGCTCAGTGTCGGCTGCAATATACGCATACAACGCCGTCGCCTCCTCGTCGCGCTTGTCCAGCTCAGTGTCGGCGACAATGTACCCATCCAGCGCCGTGGCTTCGATGCTGGCTCTGGCGCGGAGAGCGCGGAGGTCATCTGCCCGGACGCGAAGTGTGAATGCTGCTGATGTATCTTAGTTCCATACTGGTGAAATCATGCCAATGCCTACATTGTGGGGTGGGAGGGATGTGCATACGCTTGGCTGTCGGTGCAGAAGCTGCCATAGGGCTTAGAAGGAGGCCGTAGATGGCAGAAAGAAGCACGGGGTACTTCATGGTGGGCGGGGTATGCTTGGGGAGTTCTGGCGAGGCTTGTGACTGAGGAGAAAGGGTCTGTTGAGCAGGAAGGAAGGGCTGGTAGGGCTAATTATATCTAGGTCTCGAGCACTGGCCTCCCCATTCCTGCATCTGAGAAACCTCGGGCCGGATCGTTTGGTATGGCCTATCTACACAACCAAGGCTAGATGCCAGGTCTATGTGATTGTTGTACACCACCGTGATTGCGATCGCAGCTGACAGCTGCACCTCTTTCAAATTGGAAAGAGGTGACGACCCACCAGCGGAGTCTGGCCCATACGTGTAGGTGCCATAATTGCACAGCCAGAGTATGTGTCATGCGGGGATGTCAATCCATCTTAACGGCGTCGTTGTACACTACTGTGAATGTGAGTGCAGCACTTATCTGCACCTCTAATCCAAGTTGAGAAGACATGGCAGTCCAGCAACAGAGTCGCATGGCATATGTGCTATACACACATTGCACAGCCTATCAAGGACAAAGAGATGGACCCAAAGAGAGGAAAACAAAGCAGCAAGGGTTTCTGACAAGATGATGGACTGCAGCAAAAAGAACATGAAAACATACAACAGAAGGGATTCGCTGGTGGTCACCCACCCAACTACTAACCTCCCGGCGTGTGGCTTGAGTACGGCTGAGCGGACGGGAAGCCCTATTTTCCACACCCTGTGGTCGTATGTGCTTGGTCGAAGTGCAGAGAAGACTACGTTTGCTGAGATAGAAAGCTGTTCCAAGTCCAAAAGCTATTTCAATGCGAACTACTGCACACTACTGTGAATGTGACTGCAGCAGATATCTGCACTTCTTCCAGACTGAGAGGAAGGTGGGAAGCTACCAACAGGACGATATGGGCGGCATAGGCGGCACAGGCTAATTGATTGGCAATCATCTTCACTAGGGAACTGTCGTTGTATTATCGACTTACCAGGGGTGTCGCATATCCCAGATGAAGAGAGAAAACCACTTTGGGGTCGAGGTATTTGATCATTCCTTGCTCTGCGCTCCATCGCTTACCGTCTTGAAGTTTCTTACCCACCAGATTCGAAGGACGCCTCGATTGATGAAGATGGAACTCGGAGTGTCTCCAACCTATGAACGACTGGACCGTCGAGACTCGGATGCCCTCGATGACGGCCGACAAGGTACGGAAAGCGAGAATGGAGCACTTCTAGAAGGAAAGACGTCCCAGCGCGAGTATCCCCATCCACGACACCGTTGGTTTGTTTGGCTCAATGCTACCATCTTTGCAATGTCATTGTTCCTCTTTGCCATGACCGCGAGCATTGTCCGGAGCAGCAGCGTTTCCAGCCAGCTATTGCGGAAAACCTCTGAATATTGTGAGGGTGACCTTGGCCGCAACATTCAGTTCGCTAACGGATTGCAGCCCCCATATTCGATCGACTGGAAATTCCCCTCATCTACAAAAAGATGAATGCGACGTTGGTGGAGCCGGATCCCCTACCCATCTACCGCCAGCCGCCCAGCCCCGAGGTGGACGAAGCCTGGAACCGACTAGCAAACATCAGACCTATCGCTATCAGTCGTGGTGACGTGGTCAAGCTGGGTAGGGACCCCGAGCAAGCGGCAAAATGGCCTGAAAGCTTTGGCTTCGGATCCGAGGCATACATTGGACGGATCGACGTCTTCCATCAAATTCATTGCCTGGATTGGCTGCGCCGGGAAGCGTACTTTGACCACTACTATGGGAAGAAATGGCCGCCGGGGACTCCGCCGTCCGACATGCACCGGACCCATATCTCCCACTGCATCTACCTGCTGCTCCAGAACCTCATGTGCACCGCAAATGTCGACATCTACACCCATCACTGGGCGGACGCGCAGCTGAACGCCTTCCCCGACTTCAGCGTCAACCACAAATGCCGGGATTTCGACGCCATCTTGCGTTGGCAGGAGGAGAACTCGGTCGACGTAGACGAGCTTGCTGCCATTCGGAAGCCACCTGATGCAGCGGCCAGGGTGATGTCGCATCGTTTCAAGGAGCTGTTTGGTTGGTACAATTCCAACGCCGATGATGGCTCTGATAGTGGGATAATTGGATAAGACGACCACCATGTAAGAGGTTGTGGAGGGGCGCTAATATCAGGGTCGATGATCGGCCTAGCACCAGTACTTGGGGCAAGTCTGAGAGCGGGGTTGAGTGAAGACTAGGGATCCAGGTCATATTTGTGTTCTTATCAAGCATTTAGGCTACTGCATGGTGTGCTTTATAAATTGTGCTTGATTACGCTCGGTCACCGATCCCTGCTTAGCGCCATCAACGGGCTGATTAGAGAACAAAGGTACGATGTATGCTTTCGAAACAGGAACCACGCGATGTAACCTAGAAAATGAATGGCTCACGCCACCCTATATGGAAGCCTAGAGCCAGACAAGGCAGCTTTGGGGGCTTCCACTGTATACGGATTCATTACTGTAAAGCGGACTTCTCCGTTGCTCCTGCCCCAGCCGGCTGAGAGTGGGACGCAGACTCGAAACATGCCCTATTCAACACGCTTCCTCTATAGCATCTCAGCAGCACTGATCTTCCTTCTTTTCGTAACTATCGGTGTCATATTCAATTCAGTGGGCAACTGGAGCAGCCTCTCACAACCCTTCCAGTTCCATGTTTGTTCCAGCGAGCCCCCTTCCCGGCCTCCAGTCATTCGCGAATTCCAGCCTTTAACCCCGAAAACCTCATGGGAATCACTTCTTCTCCCCCCAAATGGCGGCATACTAAAGGTCCGAACAAGCAACAGCACCGTAACCGACTACGGGATCTCCATGTTCCACCAGCTCCACTGTCTGACGGTTTTTCGTGGGCTGATATTCCCTGACACGACCCAGCATCACGGGGCGCCCACAACATCGCCTTCTCACTCGGGCGATGCTCATGAAGATGCTGTGCATTGGGAGCATTGCTTCGATTACATTGCACAGGTGAGTTCCTTGTGGTGAACTTGGTGACGCTCCCATCGCCCTGACAGTTGGAAGGCTATAATCTGTGCGGCAGACGACACTATCGAACCACCTCGCTCGGCTGTCGATAGAGATGGAAAACGCGTCTTGATCATTGATGGGTTGGGACATCCGCATCAGTGCAGAAACTCGGAGTTGTTATGGAGGGCTGTCCAAGATAGTGAAGTTCATCCTGTTGATCTTGCTGGAGTGAAGGGAACACTTAGCCACAGTGAGATTCTGCTAGATAATTGATTTTGAGACATGTCGGGACATCCGTATGAGATGTAAGCCTTGCTATGTAGATGAAGCTGATGTCCACAGCTAGAAGACTGTTTAATGCTACTAGTAGTCTTTCAGGCCGCGTCCAGGCGTCCAGGCAGCCACGCGCTTACGTCCATCGACCAGGGTCCCTGGCCAGTCACATGTCTGCCTTATCTCCCATTCTCCTTCTTGTCTTCAACATCCAGTATTCAATCTTCAACCTTCAAATATCACTATCTCCTCTCTCCTCTCTTTCGAATTTCCATCCACCATCTTCTTTTGTGTCTGGATGCTAAACCTCGAACCGTACCATGGCAGGCAGCTGCTCGCCCGAAGCGGACAACTCGTTTGGACCGGTCATCGCCTGTCCAGCGATCTTTGACTTCACTCTGCTTTTCGAACAAAGTATTCTAGCCATCGGCCCATCGGCCATTTTCCTCCTCGTGGTTCCTTGGCGGATCTGGTCGCTCTACACAGAAAACATCAAAACGGTCGCCAACAAGGCCCATTGGGGCAAGCTTGTCCGTCGTACCTTCATCTGATCCGCATTGGCACATATGCTAACAGTTGAACTGGTCAAATCAAGGCTGTTGCGTTATGTCTTGTCGGTCTACAAATCACCTCGGTGGTCGAATGGGCGCGCCACAACCTCACCAGGACGGCCATCCCTGCCATCGTCCTATCGCTGGTCGACTCCATAAGCATCACTGTCCTAACCGCCCTCGAACATGATCGCTCACTGCGCCCGTCATCGCTTCTGAGCATCTATCTTCTGCTATCAACGCTCTTCGATGCCGTGCAAGTGCGCACCTTATTCATCCGGCACTTCCCATCTCCTTTGGAAGCACTAGCTGCCGCATCCGTTGCATTGAAGCTTGTTCTACTGATGTTGGAAGCCCAAAGTAAACGCAAGTATCTGAAGTCACCATATCGTGTCGTCTCGCCCGAGTCGACCAGTGGAATCTTCGCTCGCACTGTCTTCTGGTGGCTCAACGGCCTATTTCTTAGAGGGTTCCGAAAGCTTCTGACGGTCGAGAATCTATTTCCAACGGACGAAGCCTTGAACTCAAGCCGTCTGGGACGGAGAATTCGAAGAGCGTGGGGCAAATGTATAATCTTCTTTTGTTGTTTCATATCGTGGCAATCTCACTAAGTGTCGACCCCTGCAGACAAATCATGCCATACACGCAGCCTGATATTCGCCACCGTGATCAGTCTACGTTGGGCAATCCTTCGAACGATATTCCCGAGACTATGTCTGATCGGATTCAGCTACGCGCAGACGTTTTTTATCCAGCGTGCAATCGAGCATCTACACAGACCCGACACCCAGCTGACAAAAAACGAGAACTATGGCTTGATCGGGGCCGCAGCGCTTATCTATGGAGGAATTGCAGTATGTCAATTCTAGTCAGTCGACCGAAAAAGCCCTAACCCAATTCAGATATCGACGGTGCATTACAAACACCAACTATTTCGGATGATCACTATGTTCCGAGGCGCAGCCGTTGCATTGGTCTACGACCACACTATGGTCCTTACGGATGGCCCCCGCGATGATTCGGCTGCTGTAACCCTTATGAGCACTGACGTTGACATGATCGCACGGTCGCTCGAGCAAATCAGTGAGACATGGGCTCGATTGGTGGAAATTGCCATTGGTATCTGGCTCTTAGAGCGACAGCTTGGTGCCGTTTGCGTCGCCCCAATTCTTGTGATTATCCGTAGGTTCCCTTTCTCTTTCTGATTCCTTGTATCTGAGACATTGCTCTGCCATAGTGTGTACATCCGTCCAGACGTATATGGCAACTTTTATGCCTGCAAGGCAGAAGGTCTGGGTCGGCGCTATCCAGCGCCGTGTGAGCATAATTTCCACGGCCCTGCGGTCGATGAAAAGCGTCAAGATGCTTGGACTATCTGAGACGCTCGCCGCAACTCTTCAGGCACAAAGAGAGAGAGAGCTGGATTTGTCTAAAGACTTCCGATGGTTAATCGTGTGGCTGAACGTGGTTGGTAAGTATCCCGCCTCCTCCTTGTAATCGTCCGAGTCCACTGACTATAGGAAGCGAGTCTGCCTCAAATGTGTGCCTCTCTCGTCACATTCGCGGCTTTCGTTATCCGTGCAAAGATCGATCATTCAGATACACTGTCAACCGTGCAGGCTTTCACATCCCTTGCAATCATCAGTCTCATCACGAGCCCGGCGCTACAGCTCCTGGCGTCGATCCCGGCCGTGACAGCCGCTTTGGGTGCTTTTGACCGCATCCACAAATTCCTTGCTTCTCCTTCTGTGGAACCCTCACTGTCAGAGGATGACCTCGACCATGAAACAGATAGCTCTAGTGGTAACGGATCAACGGTGGAATTGAAAGCATTGGCACCCAAGACACAGCCCAATTCCGACCAGATTGTTCTGCAGATGACCGACGCGTATATTCATCCGATTCCTGGATCTGACTTCTCTCTAGCAGAGATCAACTTCACAATCAAGGGAGGCACTGTAACGATGCTTATTGGTCCTGTTGGGAGTGGAAAGTCTACCCTTTTGAAAGCAGCGCTGGGTGAACTGCCCTGTGGGCGAGGAACGATCACAAGAGCATGGCGAGATGCTGGCTACTGCAGCCAAAATCCCTGGCTTCAGAACACCACCATTCGCAATAATATCTGTGGTTACTCAGAGATGGACGTCAAATGGTACAAAGAGGTACTGAGGGCATGTGCGTTGGAGCAGGATGTCTCCCGAATGCCGCAGGGTGATAAGTCTGTGGTCGGCAGTGGGGCGCTGAAGCTGAGCGGAGGACAGAAGCAGCGTCTCGTACATCACCAATTTCTATCACTGTCGCTTCGTACTGACAATTCCACAGGCAATCGCTCGAGCCATTTATTCACGGAAAGGGCTTTTGGTACTTGACGATGCCCTGAGTGCTGTTGATATGAAGACGGCACAGTATGTGCTTGAGGCCTGTTTTGGTCGCAATGGAGTCTGCCGGCAAATCGGTACGACTGTAATGATGGCAACTCATACAGGTCAGTACAGACCAGGATATTCGCGAGAGCCGTATTTAAGTCTTAGTCTAGACCAACATTCGCATGTCGCGGATCAGATCGTCATGCTGAGCTCGAACGGACGTATCGAGAAGCAAGGCTCTGTGCGGAGTTTGGGTTTGATCTCGCAACCAATTACACATGCGACGGAGGCCAGCTCGGAAACCCCGACAGCCGGAGATGAGAGTGAAGACAAGTCTGCCTCTACAAAAAAGAGGGAAACCCTCACTGTTGATGACATAGCAGATAAAGCTCGCCGCACAGGCGATGTTGCAGTCTATACGTACTACATGAGGGCCATCGGATGGCCGAGCATCTTGGCAGCTTGTCTGATTATTGTCGTGCATACATTCTCCTCTACCTTCCCCCGTAAGTATATCCAAATTGTGCATCCTACTCTGCTAACTGGGCTTCGAGAGGTGTGGCTGGAACTGTTCACAAACGACGATGGACAACAAGCCGCCCAGTTTATTGGTATCTACGTTCTGCTTGCCGTAGCTGCCTCAGGGTCCCAGGGGCTTATGATATGGTAAGCCTCTAATATGATCTACCCTCTGTGTATGTCTTGCTAACTATTGATCCAGGCAAATCATGATCAAGATCGTCATCAAATCGGGATTGGAGCTGCACCGGGTGCTTGTCCGGACTGTAGTCGATGCGCCGATGTACTTCTTTGCTGGGGTTGATTCCGGCGTCATCTTGAATAGGTTCAGCCAGGACATGACCCTTGTAGATGCCGTCCTACCCACCATGGCTTTTGGAACGGTACTGAGTATGTTGGATCTTTGTCACTCAATTATAAAGCTAATCCCAGTTTCAGGTGTTGCGCAATGCTTTGCCCAGGTCGCACTGATATCGCTGGGCTCGAGCTACATGGCTGTGACGATAATCCCGTGTTTGCTGGTGTTATACTGCGCGCAGAAAGTGTACCTGCGAACTTCCAGGCAGCTCCGATTTCTCGATCTCGAAGCTAGAAGCCCACTCTACACACTGTTTGTGGAGACTCTCGAGGGTCTGTCTACTGTCCGAGGCCTTGGATGGCAACGGTCATTTGTGGCAGAGTGCTTACGCCGACTCGATGATTCGCAAAAGCCATACTATCTTCTCTACTGTATTCAGCGGTGGCTCAACGTCGTCCTCGATCTCCTCGTTGCCGTGCTGGCTGTGATACTCATCGCACTAGCCACGTCGTTGCGGAACTCCACTGATCCAGGAAAGCTCGGAGTCTCCTTGACCGCAATTATGGCTTTCAGTCAGACTCTGCAAGAGGTGGTGTCCAGTTGGACCTCTCTGGAGACCTCCCTTGGTGCGATTGCAAGGACAAGGTCTTTCGAGATGAAAACGCCTTCTGAGCATGATGCTCGGGAAAGGGTGGTTCCGCCACCAAGCTGGCCTGCTGATGGACGGATTGAGATCAATGCTCTTTCTGCCTCATATGAGTGCGTGCTTCATCTCTCGTCTCTCAAGATACAAACCTCTGACCAATGATCATTACAATTCTACAGCGGGAGCACGCGCGCATTAGACAATGTGTCTCTGAGCATCGAAGCCGGAGAGAAAGTGATGATCTGTGGACGAACTGGCAGGTGAGTCGAAGTTCCCTATTGCACATAGTATATATCTCACTGCCTCTTGGTAATAGCGGCAAGAGCACGCTCATCTCGGCCCTCCTGCGTCTTTTCGACCCTCTAAGCGGCACGATCTCCATCGACGGCATGGACATCTCCACCATTCCCCGCAACGAGCTTCGCTCCCGCGTCGTCGCTATCCCGCAGGACCTTTTTCTCCTTCCGGGCTCGATCCGCTTCAACCTGGATCCCACCGGCCGTGCAACGGACTCGACTCTGCTTTTAGCCTTGGAAAGATGCAACCTTCTGGCTGTGGTTACATCGCGCGGAGGCCTGGACGACGAATTGACGTCTGCCTCCATGTCGCAAGGCGAGCAGAGGCTGTTCGCGCTGGCTGGTGCTCTGGTGCGCAAGTGGAGTCGAGAGCGCCACTCTGCTGGAGGAGAAGGTGGGGGCGGCATCTTGATCCTGGATGAGGCGACTAGTGGGACTGATGCGGCGACTCATGCTTTGATGCAGCAGGTGGTAGACGAAGAGTTTAGGGGGTATACCGTACTGCAGATCTCGCACCGGCCTGATGAGATCCGGGGTGTTGATCGGATGGTCGAGATGAAGGATGGGCGGGTGGTGCAGGGGTAGGCTTGTCCAAAGCTGATGTGCTCGGATGATCGATTGGTTGTAGGGCAGCTGCATTGTAAAGAGAGGAGGGGATAGCCGGTCTGCCAGGGAAGTAAAGATTCCAGTTTGGGCTCTTGATTTGATGTGCTTCATGTATCTCCAGATACTGTTCGACCGAACTTCCCTCTGCTTTGAGATACGAAGGGCGTCCCTGAGGAGTTCAGCATCAATGCACAGAGGGGATGTAGGAGCTGTTGAATATGAGATTACGTGAGACCTTTGCGCTGCGATGAAGGGGATTGTTTGCAGGTCTTTGCACCTCCACATTCCGGGAAAAGCACACTGGGGAGACTGACTACAGCTGGCTTTAAGAGACGATACCGCTACTATTGACATCAGAAACAACTTTGGTAGCGATGTAAGCGTAGACGCATAGAGCACACCACTACCGACATTTTCTTGGTCTAAGCTCAAGCTAGGTGCTACAAGAGTTGAGTATCTCAGCAAGCCAGATGTTGTATTGTAGTGTACATAGCTGGAAGAGCATCGCCATATCCTGACCCCAACTAGTTCTACCCCTAACAAGATCTCTCGCCAACCGTCGTCCCCTGATAGCCTCTCACCCATACTAGTAGTACATCTCCCCACCTCGTCAGTTCTTTGTCTTCGCCGCCTTCGTTGTCGTAGTGGTGGTAGTAGTAGTGGTGGTAGTAGTAGTGGTGGTGGTAGTGGTGGTGGTTGTCGCCGCCGCCTCATCATTGACGCACAGGTTATAGCCATTCCCCGTCCCCGGGGGATGATACACCGACCCCATGTACGTGTATTTCTCATTCATGATAGCCCGATACTTGCCAGGTTCACCGGCATTGGACTCTGCCACCAAGAAATGTCGCCATGATTAGCTCCGACATGCATCTCTCACAAACCAATTTTTTTTTATTAGGGGGGGGACGACCCACTTCCAGAATAAACCCCCGAGATCAACGGGTACGCATACAGCTGGCTGGTGGATTTGAAGAACTTCTCGCCGTTGCCGTACGTCTCCGGGTACTTGCCATAGCCCTTCTGGCCCGCCGCTCGCGCCGTCTCGACGACCTTGGATTGCTTGATCGCCGCGTTGATGTTGGCCGCGGTGAACTTGGCCCCGCCGCAGTTCACGTCCTTGACCTGGGCGCGGGGAAGGAGGCTGAGCAGGTCGCGCGCCTCCAGTGGGTCGGTGTCGCTGGCGATCGGGCTGGCGACTGCGGTGAGGGCCAGAGCGAAGAGGAGGGTGGGCTTGAGGTTGAAGAGCATTTTTGAAAGAAGGGAAGAAGAATAGGTAGCTTCTATGTTTGTCTGTGGGTTCGGGAAGAAAGAAAGTAATACGATGGAGTGAGTGAATGAATGGATGAGTGAATGAGTGACTGGGTTGATGAACCTGGTAATTAAACGGTGGGTGCAGCGACGGTGGCTTTATATAGCCTGCACTTTTGACCCCATTATCTTGTAGACAATTGGGGGTCAACCTCTACGAGGGCCAAAATGGATTCTCAGCCCCAAACAGCGTGGGTGTTCAGGGCAGGGCAGTGTTGATTGGGGCCGATTGGGGCCGGTCGGAGGTGCAGGGCTGACAGCTTACGATTCGGCCACTGGGCTTCAGATTCATACCTACTATACTAATACTAAGGGTTGTCGACTAAACCGTGACTAGTAAAGCCAACAGAACAACAAAGAGATTGCTGACTGACTGTCTCGGTTAGTTCAGGTAGTGCTTACCGCCATCGACTAATCACTAACCATTTAAAACGAACACCCACCGTGTGCTTCATCTACCTTGTTTCATCACCCAAAACAACACCACACTCATCAACACCCCAAGCTCCCACACCACCAGCAATGGAGGCCTTCCTGGAAGAGTTCGGCTCCGAGCTCCTGGAGCGACCGGAAGTCCAAGTCCTTGCGGAGCTCCTCCAGAAACCCGATGCCTCTCCTACCGCGGCCGTCCAACGACTGCTTCAGACCCGCGAGACCCCAAGCAGCAACAACACAAGCAGCGCAGGCAACCATGCGTGGTTCACGATGTTCCCGCTCGTCGAACTCGCGAGTCTCACCCCAGCTGCGCAGCAGGTCAAGCTCATCGAGTTCGTCGCCAAGCTCCAAAAGACCCCCGTCATCGACCCGGTCACGGGACGACCGCTGACAGCGGCCGATGATCTGAACCTCTGGACCGATCTCCCCTACCTCCGCATTTACCTGGCCGATAGATCTGGTTTCCGTGCGTGGACCCCCTCCCTTTCTTTCTCCTTTCCGCCGCTGTCGGGTTCGTTCGCACACACCTCCGCTGACTGGGACCAAGCAGGCTATGCTAAGAAAGATTACCCCGAGGCAGAGGAGTATCCCCCGGCCGAGGTGCGGGAGTGGGAGAACCGGACCGCGTTCATGGCGCAGCTGACGGCCGCGGCGGATGCGCTCGGCCATCCCATGGATTTCTCGCTGTATGGGCTGTACGCGTGCCGGAGCGCATTTGAGGACGAGGGAGATCCGGTCGAGGAGGCGGTGCGCGCCGCCTGTATCTGGTTCCTCTATGCCGGAGCGCGGATGTGGGAGAATTGTCAGGCGCGGCGGGGGTTCGGGGATAGTCCGGACGATCCTCGCTACTTCGATCTGCCCCGGTGGCGGCGCTGGGAGGAGGGACTGCAGGCGGCACGGCGCGAGTTGCGTCGGCAGAGTACGCAGGAGCTGATCCAGACGGCATTGACGGAATTGGGAAGGGCTCAGCAGTAGGATATGCTGAGGAGGCTTCCGTGAACCAGGTGTCACTCTCGTGCTTACAGTAGTTCTACTCTTGGACTTTACCTAGGGTTCACATTAGGTTAAAGCGGACCCGTGGCGAGGCTAGTGCTGAGCTCCAGAAGGACTCGCCTTCAGATACCTCCTGGTTGACTGTGCTGATTAGGTAGTAGCTTCTGCAGACTATATGGTGTACGGATTGGTTGATCGGCTGCTGTAATTGAAGACAGATTGTCTGACTGAGGGTAGATTATATGAGACCGATGGCCAACACTCCTAGATTCTGGACGGCTTTCTTTATCCCTCCAAGTTTTGAAGAAAAGTATAACAGAGTAGAAGATGTTCATACCCCCTAGTTCATCCATTCAATCAAAAAGAAAATAATCAGGATCATGGCTAGGTTTGCTGGGAGGCCCTGGCCATCCCGGAGAAGTGAGAGTCCTAGACCCGTTCTCCTGTGGCCTGGGACTTGGAAACCATATGGATCTTGTCAGCTGCATCGATGCTGATAGGAGGGATTGCTTAGATTTTCTCGCATCTAGGAGGTCTCCTCAATTCCAAGGTCGGACGGTCGATGGAGAGTATAGCAGTTCGTCTTTGGGCGGGGGGGGACAAAGCGGCGTTTGCTGACCATACTAGCAGCATTTGTGCTCCCTCAAGTACCGCTATAACCCACCCATCACTCGGTTTGCCTTGCCGGCTCTCATCGGGGAGGGGGGGGGGTGTATCCCAAAGGATCCCTGAGGTGTTTCGATGAACCTATTACAAATGAGCACATGCGACGGCTGACCCGACCACTACATATAACCTGCTACCCTTACCCTTATTACCCCCACCCCCATCCCATTGCCAACCCCCTCTCCAAGCCAAAACAATCAGAACATGCCCGATCCATACCCCTCCACGACCAACAAACCGACCATGCGCGCCGTGGTCTTCGAAGGCCACCCGTACAAAGTCCACGTGCGCACCCTCCCCAAGCCGACGATCGTCCGGCAGACCGACGCGGTGGTGCGCCTCACGGCGGCGGCCATCTGCGGTTCCGACCTGCACAACTACCACGGGGTCTTCGGCAGCCGCGAGGTGCCATACGCGCTGGGCCATGAGGGGATGGGCATCGTGGAGAAGGTCGGGGCGGAGGTGCAGTCCATCCAGCCCGGGGATCGCGTCGTCGTGCCCGACTTCCCGCCCCGGGGGGGGGG